TTGGGGGCGCCAGCCCCAGGGAACTTGCACAAACCCTCCTGGTGCCCAGGATAGGTGCTCTCTGCAGCAACCCCTGCCTCCCTGTAGTCCCTGTGTCCCCCCACCCCACCCCGGCCCCACATCCTCTGCAATCCCCAGGTAGACTGAAAGGTGGGAGGGGACAGAGCAGGTGCTCAGGGGGACAGGGCAGAGCAGTGAATGGTGAGCTGGCTCAGGTGGGAGGAGGAAGAGCAGGTCCCCTGAGCCCCAGGGGCTTCCTGACATGCTACTTGCCGACATACCTCAGCCTGAGGAGTCCTGATCCCCTCCTCTGCCCCTTCCTGCCAGGGCCTGAACTCCTCAGGCTTTGCCCCTTTGCCAAGAGTCTCATGCTAAGCCTGCCAGCCCTGTTTTCCTATCAGCCTTCAACACCCTGACTCCTGGGACTGTGCTGGCCCTTCCACACTCCCTCCTACAGCTCATGATCAGCTGCTCTGCCCTGGATCCCTGAGCTCTTGGGGCTGCCCTTGCCCCACAGGTATTGTCTTACCCAATCTCATCTAATAGTGCTCTGCCCTGTTCCCATGAGCTCTTGCGTCTCTCCTATCCTCTCCAGCATCCACCATCCCCTACACACCTGCACGTGCTCTCCTGTGGTACCCTGATCTCCTAGGGCTGCCATAGCCCTTCCAGTATCAACCTGCCCAGCTCATCGGTAGCTGCTTTGCCTTGGTATCCTGAGCAAGTGGAGCTGCCCTGGCTCCTACAGCACCAGCACATTCCTGCTCACTTGTAGCTGCTCTGGTACTTTCCCCAGAGCTCCTGGGACTGCCCTGGCTCCTCCATCACCCAAATGCCTCTGCTCACCTGCAGCTTCTTGGCCATGGTCCCCTGAGCTTCTAGGACTGGCTTGACCTCTGAAGCACCCACCTGTCCTTGCTCACCTGCAGCTGCTCTCAAGTGATCTCCTAAGCTCTTGGGGTCTCCCATGGACCCTCTCGTACCTACCTGCCCCAGCTCAAGTGTAGCTGTTCTATCCTGTTCCCCTGAGCTCCTGGTATTGCTATGGCCCTTCCAGCACTCACCCGTTCCTACTTACATTCAGCTGCTCTGCCCTGGTTCCCTAAGCTCTGGGAGCTGCCCTGTTTCTTCTAGCACCTACTTGTCCCAGCTCACCTGTAGCTGCTCTGCTGGTGTTCTCTGAGCTCCTGTGGCTGTCCTGGCCCCTCAAGCACCAACCTCTCTGTGATCAACTGCAGCTGTTCTGCCCTGGTCTCCTGAGCTCCTGGAGATGCCTTGATTCCTCTAGCACCCACGTGCTCCAGCTCACATGCAGCTGCTGTGCTCTGGTTCCCTGAGGTCGTGGGGCTGCCCTGGCTCCTTCAGCACCAATCTCCCCTGTTCTGCCCTGTCTTCTGCCCTCTGGGCTTCCCTGGTACTTCCAGAACCCACGCACTGTATCTTACCAGGAGTTGCTCTGCCCTAGTCCCCTGAACTCCTGGAGTGGCCCTGGTCCCCCTAGCACCAAGCTATCCTTGTTCATCTATAGCTGCTCTGGTATCCTCTCCTGACCTCCTGTGGCTTCCTTGGCTGCTCCAGAATGAAACTCCCCTGTTCACCTGCCTCTGTTCTCCTGCAGCCCACTGAGCTCCTGTGGCCTCCCATACACCCTCCAGTACCCACCTGCCCCAGCTCAATTGTAGCTGCTCTACCCTGGTCCACTGAGCTCCTGGTGTTGCCCTGGTCCTTCCAGAACCCACCTGTCTCTGCTCACCTGCAGCTGCTCTGGCCTGATCCCCTAAGCTCTGGAAGGTGTCCTGATTCCTCTAGCATCCACCTGCCCTAGCTTTCCTGTAGCTGCTTTGCCCTGGTACCTTGAGCTCCTGGGGGCTGCCCTGGATCCTTCAGCACCCACCTGCCCCAGCTTACCTGTAGCTGCTCTGCCCGAGTCCCCTGAGCTCCTGGGGCTTCCCTGGTCCCTCCAGCCTTCTCCTGCCCAAGCTCACCTATTGCTCCTCTGCCCTGGTCCTCTGAACCCGTCCTAGGGTGTCTTTGGCCCCTGTAGCACACAGCTACCATAGCTCACATGTAGATGCCCTGCCCTGACTCCCTGAGCTCCTGGACTTACCCTGGCCCTTCTGGCACCTACCTGTCCCAAGTCACTGGCACATGCTTTACCCTGGTCCTGTGAGCTCCTATGAATGTGCTAGCTCCTCCAACTTCCACCTGTCCCTGCTCTTCCCTGGTCCCCTGAGCTTCTTCAGTTTCTCTGGCTCCCCTAGCATCCAAGTGCCTCTGCTCACCTGTAGCTTCTGGGCCCTGGTTCCCTGAGCTCATAGGACTGGTTGGCCCCTGAAACACCCACTTGCTCCTGCTCACCTGCAGCTGCTCTGCCCCGGTTCCCTAAATTCTCGGAGCTTTCCTGATTCCTCTAGCACCCACCTGCCCTAGCTCATCTGTAGCTGCTTTGCCCTGGTCCCCTGAGCTCCTGGGGGTTCTCTGGCTCTTTCAGCACCAATCTGCCCCAGCTTACCTGTAGCTGCTCTGTTTGAGTTCCTTGAGCTCCTGGGGCTGCCCTGGTCCCTCAAGCATTCTCCAGCCCAGGCTCACCTATTGCTGCTCTACGCTGGTCCCCTGAACACCTCCTGGGTGTCTTTGGCCCCTGTAGCACTCACCTATAAGAGCTCACATGTGGATGGTCTGCCGTGCGCCTTCTGGCATCTACCTGCCACACAAATTACAGGTACCTGAAGCCTCTTGGCCCTGGTTCCCTGAGTTTCTAGGACTGGTTTGGCCCCTAAAGCACCCAGCTGCTCCTGTTCACCTGTACCTGCTCTCCTGTGGCCAACTGAGCTTCTGGGGTCTCCCATAGGCTCTCCAGTACCTACCTGCCCTAGCTCAACTGTAGCTGCTCTACCCTGGTCTGATGAGCTCCTGGTGTTGCCCTGGTCCTTCCAGCACTCACCTGTCTCTGCTCACCTGCAGCTGTTCTGGCCTGGTCTCCTAAGCTCCGGGAGCTGTCCTGATTCCTCTAGTACCTGCCTGCCCCAGCTCACCTGTAGGTACTTCACCCTGGTACCCTGAGCTCCTGAGGCTGCCCTGGCTCCTTCAGCACCAACCTGCCCCAGCTTACCTGTAGCTGCTCTGCTCTGGTTCCCTGAGCTCTTGGGGCTGCTCTGGCCCCTTCAGCAACAACAGCTCGCTGGTAGCTGCTCTGCCTGAGTCCCCTGTGCTCCTGCGGCTGCCCTGGTCCCTCTAGCATTCTCCTGCCCAAGTTCACCTATTGTTGCTCTATTCTGGTCCCCTGAACTCCTCCTGGGGTATATTTGGCTCCTGTAGCATGCAGCTACCACAGCTCACATGTAGATGCTCTGCCCTGACTCCCTGAGCTCCCGGAATCACCCTGGCCCTTCTGGCACCTATCTGCCCCAAGTCAGGGTCACATGCTTTGCCCTGGTCCTGTGAGCTTCTGGGAGTGTCCTGGCTCCTCCAGCATCCACCTGCCCATGCTCACCTATAGCTGCTCCTCTCTGGTCCCCTGAGTTATTTGGGCTGCTCTGGCTCCTCTAGCACTCAAATGCCACTGTTTGTCTGCAGCTTCTTGGCCCTGGTCCCCTGAGCTTCTAGGATTGACTTGGCCCCTAGAGCACCCACCTGCTCCTGCTCACCTGCACCTGGTCTCGCGTGGTCCACTGAGCTTCTGAGATATCCCATGGACTCTCTAGTACCCATCTGCCCCAGATCAACTGTAGCTGCTCTACCCTGGTCCGTTGAGCTCCTGGTGTTGCTGTGGCCCTTCCAGCACCCATGTGTGCCTACTCAATTGCAGATATTCTGCCCTGGTTCCCTGAACTCTTGGAGCTTCCTTGTCCCCTCCAGCACCAACCTCTCCCTGCTTACCTGCAACTGTTCTGTCCTGGTCCCCTGAGCTCCTGGAGCTACCCTGATTCCTCTAGCACCCATCTGCTCCTGCTCACCTGTACCTGCTCTGCCTCAGTCCCCTGAGCTTCTGGGGCTATCCAGATTCCTCCAGCACCCACTCAGCCTAGCTTACTGGCAGCTGCTCTGCCTTTGTCCTCTGAGCTCTTGTGACTCCCCTGGTCTCTTTTGTATGTACCCACCCCAGTTTACCAGCAGCTGCTCTGCCAGAGTCCCTTAAGGTCTTGGGGCTGCACTGGCCTATCTAGAATCCTTTTGCCCAAGTTCACCTACTGTTGCTCTTTCCTGGTCCCCTGAGCTCCTGGCATGTCTTTGGCTCTTCTCACACTCTCCACAGCTCACATGTAGATGCTCTGTTCTGGGCCCCCAAGCTCCTGGAGCTTCCCTGACCCTCTGGCACCTACCTGCCATAAGTCACAGGCATATGCTTTGTCCTGGTCCATTGAGCTCCTGTGAGTGTCCTGGCTCCTCTTGTGCCCACCCGCCCCAGCTCAACTGTAGCTTCTCTGCCCTGGTCCCCTGAACTCCCTCAACAGTCCTCCCTGACTCTCTGAGCCCTGTTGTGCCTCTACACTGAATCTGGTCTTTTTCTAGCACTGGGTTTGTCCTTGAACCCTGAGCTTCTACTGGTTCTCAGCTGAAGATTCTCTTCCACCATGTGAACTCCTGACCTATTTCTGGAATTTCGCTTTACCTATTCTCTAGCTTGCTCCACTGCGTCCTGTCGTTGGCTTGTCATCTCCATGACAGCCCTCGTCTGTCTTCTGCTGTCCTACTGGCCCTCTCGTCACATCCTCCAGGGAACTCTTGTCAGCCCCTGGTGTATCTCACTCAGAAGGCCTGGCCATATCCCTGCCTTGGGCCCCAGTCCCTCCCACATGGGCTTAGTGACTCCGGGCAGCTGTCCTTGGCAGGGTCTGGCCGCTCTGTGGGGAGGTCTCTGCAGTCCACCTTCCTGTGGCTTTGGCTATGCAAGATGAAGTGTCCCTCTCCCCCACACCTCTGTCCCTGCCCAGTCCACTCACCTTGCGGTAGTCATGGCAGCTCCTCAGTCTCCTGCCCCAGCCCTGTGCTGTCACAGCTCAGCTCTGTTTTGTCCTCCTAGGAGTCACAGCATCTGTCCCCAGAGGTATGGAAGCCTCCCCACCCCCAGCCCTGAAGAGACTAAGAAGAGGATTGAAAATGGGTGGCCCTGTTGCTCCCTGAAGTTCCCTTTTTCTGCGTGGGTGTGGAGATGGGGCTGGGTGAAGTGTGCCCTGGCCCCAGGGGAGAAGAGGAAGGTCCCTGCCACCTGCTGCCTTGCGCCCACAATTTCCTGGGGTCCCTGGGGCCCTCTCTACCCTAACCACTTGTTTGGTGAGCTCAGGGTCTCACCTGAGCCCTTGACTCCTCCTGGCCCCACTGTCATGTCTCCTGTCCTTTCTCTACCAACATTTAGAAGTCAGCCTGCCATGCAGGAGAATGAGGGCTGGGCTAGGGGAAGGTACGGGTGGGAAGGAAAGGTAGGGGAGAGCAAGGCTGAGGGGCCAGGGGCACAGCTTCCTCAGGGGTTGGGGTGCATTCCGATATCCAGTCCCTAGTGCTGGTGGCAATGCCAATGGACACAGTGGCTTTCCTGGGGCCAGAGGTGCTGGCAGCATGCAGGGGATGGGGAGAGGCCAGGAGTGAAGGTGAGAGGAGGCAGTGGGTACCCGGGCTGAACTCACCAGGTCCTCCCAGAAAGAAGCCCTGAGGAGAGCAGGAGGGTGCAGGCGGGCAGGCTGGGGTGTGCAGGAAGCATGCATGATGGCATCATGGTGAGGGCCAATTCTTTGAGTTGGGGAGTCAGGGACAGGCAACACCAGGCTTGAATTATAGCAGAAACCCACCCTGGGTGGCTGTCATGGGAGTGTTCAAGCCTCTAGGTGCATGTCAGTCCCTCTTCTAAGTGGGCACCCAGGAGGACAGGATCAGGCTCACTCAGTATGACCTCTGCATCCCTGAGCATCAGCCTGACCCTAAGAGTGTGAGTATGGGGAGAACTGGCCATGCCTAGTGGGCTCCAGGGAACCTTCCTCCCTCAAGCTGAAGCCTTCAGGGGCTGCTACATCTGAGTTAAATGGAGCTCATCACATCATACCAGGCTTGGGGTGACCAAAGGCCAAAGAACTCAGCACAACAGGAGACTGAGCAGGTATGGGAGGGTGGGAGGTGACCTGTGCTTGTGAGCTCAGGCTGCAGGGACCAGGTAGAGACAGGCATTGTGTGTGTCTACAGAGACCCTCTCTTGCTCTGCTGGAAGTCTCAACCTGCTGCTTCTTGGCTCTGGGAAGCCACACTGCTCACTGCCTCACTGTCCTGGCATTGTCCCTACATGCATGTCCGTGTCCCCGTAGCTCCTTTCATAAGGATCCCCATGCTATTAGGTCAGATGCCTACCCCAGTCCAGTGTGACTTTGTCACAGTGTTTTATGTCAGACACTCTGTGCCCAACACTGCTGCACTCTGAGGTTCTGGGAATGACTGTACCTCTGAATCCTAGAAGCCATGATCTGTCCCACAGCAGCAGCCTTGCCACGTCCTCCACTAGCACCTGGGACAGGGATTGGAGGGCTCACAGCCCAGAACCTAGGGCATCGAGAATGGCTCAGTGAGACTGAGAGGCAGCTGGGGAGGGAATCAGGGCCCCTCTGGAGCAGAGGCAGCTGAACACATGGAGGTGAAGGCCCTGATGCAGAACCCAGGCAAGAGATGCCCAGGAGGGCAGCATCCTTTGAGTGGAAAACAAAGAGGCAGGTTCTGTCCTGGAGGCCACAGCACAGCTGCTGACCAGGGCTGGGCTACATGCAGGAGCCCTGCCTCAGAGTGAGCAGTGAGAGTTCTAGGAGTGACATGGGTAGAGGCAGGCAAGTGGCAGATGAAGCAAAGCCATCAGAGACCAGGCAAGGACTGTAGCCTACAGCCAACACCTCTTTCTCGACCCCAGGCAACCAGCACTGTGTCCGGGAGGGACAGCCCAGGGTCAGCAGCACCTGGGTCCAGGCTGGGGAGGGTGTGGAATTGTACCCACTTCTGCGATCTGTGCCCAGGACAGTCTTGCATTCACTGTGGATACAGCACCCTGTGGTCTGAGGTCAGTGAGGGTGGCTACTGGAGGTCAAAGTTGAGACCAGACCTGAGGCTCCAGGAGTGGATCAAACAGAGGAAGGGTGCGGAAGACAGGAAGCTCAGGGATACCAAGGACATCACCGGGTCTGGAGGGAAGACCCCTCCTCCTAGAACCCACAGAGCCAGGGTCTGCCTGGGAGTTTATCACTCAGTCCTGGGGCTGGAAAGGGCCCCAGTGATCCCCCACGCTGGGACCCTCCTACCATCCCCTGTCCCTGATGCCAGGCTGGTGTCCTCAGCACCCACTGTCTGTCTTGCAGCCACTCAACAGGATCCACACATTTTCATCACCTCAGGGTGCAAACCCCAGGGGAAAATGACCTCGAAGTCTGCTTAGTGTCTGGAAACAACCCAAACGTACAGGTCACTTGGCACTCGCAGGTGCAGATGAAGACACAGTGGTCCTTCCCCGCTACCCAGAATGGTGAAGCTTACACCGTGAGCAGCCAGCTCTCCTTTCTGATGGCTGAGTTCAACCCTGGTCCCCACAAATGCACCACCTCTCTGGACAAGCGGAGCTGGGAGAAGACATTCCAGCAATCAAGTATGTGGCCCAGTGCCCTACAAAGGCCTGCAGGAGGTCCCACACCTTCCCCAGGGTGGTCCATGGACAGGGCCAGCCCCAGCCCTTCCCTGGGGTGACACCCCCATTCTTTATTGTCCTCTGTCCCCTGGGAGCCCTGCTCACATTGTACCCCTGGGCTCTCCCAGTATGCAGGAGGCCACTGACTCAGCAAAGCTGCTGTCAAGCACAAACCCCAGCCCTCTCCATACAGTGACTCTCCCTCCTCAGCCTGGCTATCCCCTGTCACCCTGTCCACTCTGCTTCCTCTCCCTCACCTGCCCACTGCTCCTCTGGTTCCAGATTCCTGGACTGCTCAGAACTCCCCGGGGCCCATCACACCTCCTGGAGCAGAGGGAGGCTCCACTGAGGCCACCAGAGACACCACCATCACCACCACCATCATCACAGGTGAGCAGTCCTGCATGTCCCTGCTCTCTGCCCAAATGTCAGGCTATGTACTCTGAGCCTGGAAGGACTTTGGTTGGGCTGGGCTCACACCTTGTCTCCTTATCCCAGTGACTATGGAGCAGGCTCCCAACGTGACCGTGTTTGTCCCACCCCAAGACACCTTCCTCGACTCTGGTGAATCCAAACTCATCTGCCAGGCAACAGGCTTCAGTCCCAGGCAGATCACAGTGTCCTGGCTGCGGGATGGAAAGACTGTGAGGTCTGGCTTCATCACAGACCAGGTGGTGGCTGAGAACAAAGTCTCCCAGAAACTGACCTTCAAGGTTACCAGCACGCTGACCATCACGGAGGCTGACTGGCTGAGCCAGAAGGTGTTCACCTGCCTCGTGGATCACAGAGCGGGCACCTTCAAGAAGAATGTATCCTCCTCCATGTGTGTCCCCAGTGAGTGCCTGGCCCCTCCCCAGACCACCCTTCAGCCCAAGGTATCCCTACACCTGTCCACTCGGGTGGAACAGATGCCACACAGACCTGGCCACCTGCTCCTGAGCCTTGGCTTCCAGGAGATGCCAAGGGCAGGACAGGGAGCAGTGGGGACACAGGTCAGGTGGCACCAAGCAGCACCCAGGGGCAGGGCTGGTCCTAGGGTCTACAGCTTTCCCTGACTTCAAGTCCAACCACCACTCACAGCAGTGTTCTCTCCACAGCAACTCCGCCCACAGACATCAAAGTCTTCCCCATCCCACCCTCTTTTGCTGGCACCTTCCTCACCAAGTCTGCCAAGCTGACCTGTCTGGTCACCAGCCTGACCCACCGTGGAGGACTGAATATCTCCCGGGCCAATCAGGATGGCAAGGACCTGCCAACCAAAGTCACAGATCCTGAGAGCCAAGCCAACGGCACCCTCAGTGTCATGGGTGAGGCCAGTGCCTGTGTGGAAGACTGGGACTCTGGGAAGACATTCACGTGCACCGTGATCCACCAGGACCTGCCCTTCCCATTGAAGAAGACCATCTCCAAGCCCACAGGTAGGCCCAGCCCCCACCCCGCTGGCTCCAGGACCCCACCTGTCCCCCGCCTGCCCCGTGCTCACCAACTCCTCTCTGCCCACAGCACAAGCCAAGCACCCCCCTGCCATGTACGTGCTGCCACCCGCCCGGGAACAGCTGGTCCTGCATGAACAGGCCACCATCTTCTGCCTGGTGAAGGGCTTTGCACCTGCAGATGTCTTTGTGCAGTGGCTGCGGAGTGGGCAGCCCTTGTCCTCGGACAAGTATGTGACCAGCTCCCCGATACCCGAGTCCCAGGCCCCAGGTCTCTACTATGCGCACAGCCTGCTGACAGTGACCGAGGAGGACTGGAGCTCGGGAGAGACCTTCACCTGTGTCGTGGGCCACGAGGCCCTGCCCCACATGGTGACCGAGAGGACCGTGGACAAGTCCACTGGTAAACCCACCCTGTACAATGTGTCCCTCATCATGTCCGACACGGCCCGCACCTGCTACTGACCATGCTGCTCCAGCCATCCTAAGGGCCATGGTCCAGTCCCTCTGCTGTTTGTGTGCAAACTAACCATTTTGGGTGTGTAGTGTTGCATTTCCTAAAATTAGAAATAAAAAGATCCCTTCAAAAGATGCTGGTTTTGAGTATGCAATGCTCTGGCCTGCTTAGCTAGAGTAGATTCTTCCACCTGGTCCATCCCTGCCCTGTCACACATCCTCCAGGCTTCTGAGGATGCTCTGCCTCTTTGCAGACATCTGTGCAGGTGACCTGTCGGCTTTTGGACTCTGTAGCTGCTTCTGACATATAGCCAAAGGCTCAGCTTCACTGATACAGGCAGTACACATGCTTCATGAGTATGCTGACACAGACACACATCTGTGTGGGGACGTGCAAACATGTCCAATCGTGGAACATGTGAACACAGAAATGAACGTGAACTCATGCACACATGTACCATGGAGAGACACACAAAGAGGCACATATGCACAAGATTACACACACAGACATGCTTGGCCACATGGCCATCTACACACAGTGTACAGGAGACACAAGACACAGACACACGGAGGCTGTGCATATACATGCACTAGGCACAAAGACACATGGATAGGAACACATGAGTGCACAGGAGCAGGTGGACACCTGGCAGACTCTGCACTCTCACACACACACACACACACACACACATCTCTTGCCTCCTTAGCAGTGGCTCCCTCCACCATGCTGTCTCAGGGCTTGTCCCATATTCTGTTTGTCTCTCTGTCTTGGCATGAAGTTATCTCATGGCCCAGCCTGGCCTGGATTCTGACTGTGGTGCCATCCCTAAGCCCAGAGCCAGAGCTCAGAGCATCCCTCAGGGCAGGCCTGCTGCAGCTTCTCAGGGAGCTCAGCCTAAGCCTGGGAGTGCCCAGGGAGGTGCCCTCCAGGGTGGCTCTGGGGGAGGCAGCAGGTGCCCAGCACCTACACTGAACACAGCAGGGTCACATAAGAGTGACAGAGATGCTGCATTCGGACCTGGCCTGCAGGTAGGGGGCTGTCCCTCTGGGAGCAGGTCACTAGGGTCACCATTAGCATAGTGACCCTGCAGACACACAACCGGGCCATTTGGGGCACAGAGAACAGAGCACACCTGTGCAGGGAGGCTGAGTCCACACAGGGAGGACAGGGTTGAGCAAAGTCCTCACACCCAAGGGACAGTGCAGGCCTAGGGCTGCTCTTTTGGTCTCCCCTGAGCTGCAGATGCTTCCTGGCAGCTGCATCCCACTGCATCCCCCAGAACTTCCTCTGACTCTATCCTAGGTCTTGGTCACTTTGGTAGGACAGAAATTGCCAGTCAGGGCATCCCAGGCCTCTGTCACTATGATAAGACAGGACCAACTAGAATGTCCCAGGCCTCTGTCACTTTGGTAGTACAGGACCAGCTAGGACTTCCTCAGGCCTCATTCACTCTGGTAGGGCAGCAGTATTCATCCAGGATGTACCAGGCCTCTGTCACTTTGGAAGGGCAGGGCTGTTCAGCCAGGATGTACTCTGGACTCTGTTCCTATTATCAAATCCCTGGGGAGGTGATCAGGAGCAGCCTGGCCCTCACTTCCCCCTGTGCACTCCACACCATCCCTGTTTCTTAGCCAGGCGGCTCTGGATGTGCCCCTTGCTCAAGGAGGGTCCAGGACTCACTGGAAGCCCAGTCCCCTGTGTCCCTGCCTCTGCCCTCTCCCTTATCCATGTGCCATGACTGCCCCACTCTTTCTGCCACCCAGGGCCCCCGGGCAAGGTTTCCTGCCCCTGTCTGTTCCTGCTTGCCTGACTGCCTGTGTCCACCCCCGCTGTTGGCTGTCATCCATCCTGTGCACTGAGCCCAGTGGTCCCAGCCCCAGGTAGGCTGCAGGAGCCACTGACCCTCCCTCTGTGTCCCCTGCAGAGGGGGAGGTGAATGCTGAAGAGGAGGGCTTTGAGAACCTGTGGACCACCGCCTCCACTTTCATTGTGCTCTTCCTGCTGAGCCTCTTCTACAGCACCACAGTCACCCTGTTCAAGGTAGAGGGCTCAGTAGGGGCAGATGCTGGGAGTAGGGCAGGAGCCTGGGCTGCACAGGGATCCTGGCCACCTGGGTCCTTGCTGCCTCTACCTTTGCCCTCACTGGGATGGCCATTCACGCTGCCTCTGTTGTCTGTAGGTGAAGTGACCCAGCTGCGAGAGGACACCGGAGACCAAGAGCCCAACTGCAGGGCCTGAGCTGTGTCCTGGCCTGTGTGGGCCTCGGATTGTACCTCTTCCCATGGCCCTTCAGCTCAGAGCTCTAGGATGCAGGCTCCTCTCCACACCATCCCAATTCCCTACACACCCTCCTGTGGCCGCAGTGCCGGGTCTCCCAAGCTCTGCTTGCTGTGTGCACTTGTGTTGCTCTGAAATGAATGCAGATGTTTTCACCTGTGAAACCACTTTCTCTGAAGGATCTCTGTTGGAAATTTGGTTACAAGCCATGCATGTTACATTATGGGAAAAAATGTATCTCCTTCTGTCCATGTTCTGAGACTTTGAATGAGACATATTAAGGGTGGGCAGACCAACTGATCTGGTGGAAGAAATTGAAAGGCAGCTCATTCATGATGTGACATGGTTACTACCTCTGCTTTTCAATGGATTCAGAGTAAGACTCTGGAGCAAAAAAAAAGAGCCAAATGATGTGAAAATTTTTTTATTAATATATATTTGTAGTACATAATGATTACATTCATTGTGGGAGTAGATACATGTGCGTAACACACTTTAATTGTTTGTATAGCTTTCCCTTCTCTTCCCTTCTTCTCAAGATCCCATTTCCATTTATCTTAGAGCTCTCTTTTTCCTACTACCTTTTCTTTAGCTCTTTAAATTATTCATACTTTGGGTTTCTTTATTTTTCAGTTTTTATTTTTATTAGTATAGGTTTCCATTACATGATTCCTTTCTTTGTGGAGAGTTGGTATATGTACATAACACCCTTCAAGTCTTTTTTCGTTCTTTTTCTCTCCCCTGTCTTCTTCCCTTCATCTTGTGGTCTCTTTCCCTTTTGCAAAAGATCTCTATATTCCTATTTTCTTTCATCTATTGTTTATTTTATTCTTTGTTTATATTTGGAGTTCTCATATAAAAGAAACCTTATGATATTTAAACTATGTGTCAGATTTATTTCACATCAAATTATGGTCTCATCATGCATCCATTTTCTACAAATGACTAAAATTTATACTTCTTTATGGCAGAGTAGTCCTCCTTTGTGTATAAACACCAACATTTTATCCATTCAACTGCTGATAGACATATAGATCACTTCCAAGATTTACCATTATGAGTTGTTCTGCCTTAAATAGGGGCATGCATGTAATATGGTGTCTTTACTTTTTCTGGGAAGATACCTAGAATGGGAATAGCTGGGTTGAATAAAATTTCTATTTTTAGATTTTAGGGAATCTACATAAACTTTCATAATGGTTGTTCTAGTTTGCTTTCCCACCAACAGTGTAGAAGGATTTTGTTTTCCTGACAGCCTCAGAAGCATTTGTTATTATTTTATTTCTTGATGATAGTCATTATCTTTGTAGTAAGGTGGAAACCAGTGTTGTTTTAATTTGGATTTACTAATGGCCAGACATGAACTATTTTTCATATATTTAATTCTCATTTGTAGTTCTTCTGAAAAGTGTCTATTCATTTCAGTTTTTTTTTTGCACCAGGGAGCAAACTCAGGACCTTGCACTTGTGAGGCAGGCGTGGTGCCACTGAGCTAAATCTCCAGCCCCAGTTGCCCATATTTTGATTGAGGATTTTATTTTATCTTATCTTGAGTATCTAACTTTTTGGGTTCTTTATTTCTTTTTTGATTAAGTTTATT